CCCCAAAACCCCAAAACCCCAAAACCCCAAAACCCCAGACTTTGGCTGGGAATTGAAGATTTATTAAGAAACTCTATTGCTTAAAATTAAGGGATTAGGGCAACCTGGAAAGTGAAAAGAGAGGGTGATTTAGGTGTTGAAGAAGGTTATATAGAGGCTAGAGAGTGTCAGAAGAGGCGTTTAGAGGATAAGAAGCTTGTGTAGAATGTATTATTGCTTATTTTGACCTTTTCTCTCATTGGAGAAAAGCTTTCAAAACTTTTTTATAAGTCATACTGTCTATATATGGCGGCTTTCGTTGATTTATATTGGTTATCACAATTCTAACAGAATATGTTTTGCTTTCATCCTCTTCAAAGTAATAATTATGTAATTTTATATAAATGAGTTAATTTTTCCAAGTGTCATGTCCATGTTTACTTGAGTCCTTACTTTTGCCAAAAAATGACTCATCCTTCTTCTCTTCATTTGGAGGCTTGCTCTCCACTATCTGGGGTAGGCCCTGGTCGTTCTGAGTCTTCTAAACATTAAATAAGAGACTTCACAAGCAGATGATTTGGGGGTTTATACACCTCGTCAGGCAAAATTGACTCTGCTAAAATATTTTTGTCTGTTTGAGAACCATCTAATTTTTGAGGCTGAGTGTTTTTATTTGAGCTTAAATCTACTTTTTCATATTTCCCAGACCCTAAATTCTGCAAATCAAGGCCTTGCCTTGTGGTAGTCTTTCTCCGAAGGTTCATCTGCGCATCAAACATTCTTCTTAAAAGAGGTTGCTCTCTAAAATAATAAGTTATGCTAGTTCAATGGCAGATGCTTACTTTTCTTGTACTGCATTAGCTTGAGAAAACCTTGAGCTCCTTTTATTAACCCTCGAGCTTATAGCAAGGTCATCGACTATTTGCAAGGACTCCCTTTTGCCAGTTGCTGTCTCTGACCGCTTGGAGCTTCCCTCCTTTGCTTGGGCTATTTTTGGTTTTATGAATTTACCTCCGCAAATACAGTGAGAAGCTTGCTCTCTGAGATCACTAACTTCTTCACGTAATTCGTTCATTTGGGTAGAGAGGATGGTGAGCATCTGCTCAACTTTTTGCTCATGTGTCTGAGGCTTTGAATGAAGTGTCTTTTTCAACTGTCTTTTCTCTTTTTCTCTCTTTTCTTCACGTATTTTCTCTTGAATTTTTCGTAAAATATCTGTGAAGACACTATATTAATAGTTAGACTCAAAGGACAATATTTAATCTGTGATGGTAAAAATATTAAAGTTATTGATTTATGCGTTTTGGTTAACTCAGAAGGTAAACGAATCAAAAAAAGTAGACTGTACTTTTTGTAAGACTTAAGAATCCTGATCAGCCTATTGACAGCTTCTCTAAATTTTACAATTGGCTTTGGGTTATTTTGCTTGCTTCTATATAATTTGAAATCTCAGTTTGGAAGGCCATTTTCGTCTATGAATTTTTCATACTCATTCATTTTACGGTCTAAATCATCATATTTATTCCTCATAATATCAAGAATGGCAAAATCTAGCTTGATAACAGAGACATCTGTCTGTGCGATTCCTGTAATAGTATAGTCTTCATAGACTAAGCATGAGTATGATCCTATGTTACACCCAGACGATAGTGTTTCGAGATATCTGCCGGTTGCAATACTTTTACTTGAAATCATGATTTCTAATTCCCCATTTCAAATTATGAATATTTCACGGCAAGGGTAACCACTATGAAAGAGATGCTCGTTAGCATGGAGGCTGATCATTTCCATTTTATAGGATATTTCCTCGATTACTTCGTCAGAGACACCGTTCGAAAGGAAGTCTATGTTGCGAAGGGACATCTTTACAAATTTTCTCCATCTGTCTTGATAATTTTCTTTTATTCGTTTCTCCATTGCAGTTTTTAGAAATGGATATCCAGCAATTAACTTTGCGAATGTTTTCTGATCAAGCGAAGCACATGTTGTGTAGTTTTTAGACTTTACAGTTGCAGTCCTGTATCACTCTTTTAAAAGAGCTACTTCTCCGAAGTAGCTTCCTGGAACAAGAGTATGTATCTGCCTAGCATTTTGGTTCTCATCTTTGATGAATACCTGTCAATCACCTTTAGCTAAGAAATAGAACTTGCTACCAGCTGATCCTTGTCTGCAGATCTCGTCTTCTGGTAAGAACAGCAGGGTTGTTAAGTCATAGAGGACTATCTCTATGATCTCTACTTTTTCTTCAAAAATCGGGTTGCCAATTATGCACTCTTGGAAAATATGCTTAGTGACTTCGCTCTTTAAACTAGGCGAAAGAAGTTGCAGAAAATCATCAAACTCCTTCTGCTGATCCAAGGTCGCCTGTGTGCTGATCAGGTATGCCTGCACCCTATTCTGCAGGTGCTCTGGAATTGACATATTCCGCATTGTAGAGGTGGCGATTTCGACTTTTTCATGAAAAGCAGAGTTTCTTCTATTCATTTGTTGGAGAATGACAGCCATGTTACCGAAAATATTCGCGTTAATTATCGAAGCAGCTAGGATAAAGATTGTTGATAGAATCAATTGTGCTGTTCCCTGAGGAGCCATATCATTCCCAGCAAGCATCAGAACTGAATAGTAGAAGGAAGTCAGGTATTGATAGAAATGATGTCTTTCATATATCAGAGGATTTGAATAATTTTCATCAAGAGGTGGAATCCATACGTTGTCTTGTCTGACAATGTAGAACCAGAGGCAAGACACTCAGTGAAGATATAAAATGAGAAAGAAAACTAATTTGATAAGTCTAATCGCCATTTTGATGTCAGATTTTAAGTTGAGGTATGCTATGAGTCTTGAGAGCCTAGCTACTCTCATTAATTTGAGCAAGTTGAACATGTTTAGAATAAATGTAGCATTGTCACTTCCTGGAATTATTAGTGAAATCAGATCTGTAGGAATAGAAGCTAACAAATCAAGCCAGAATCTCCCTAAATGTTATATAAAAAGTCTACCTTTGATATAATTAATTGCTATGTGCTTTGGATCATTCACTTCTATCCCAGTCTCTTCATTGATATATGTAGTCCTGAAACTTATGACCAGATCAGCAATGAATATAGAATCAATTATTTGATTAAGGATGTAAACCCCTACACTGTCATCTTCATCTTCAAGAAATGCTATTGTGTATGGAACTTGGATGCAGTTAAAGATAGCAAGGGCCATGATGAACAAATCCCAATAAATTCTTCTGCTCTCTTGAAAACGTCAAAGCCATTTCCTGCCTTTTGAGACAATTACTGTTGTAGGATCTGGATCAGTGCTCAGTTCATATGTTTCTAAATTTAAAAGAGTCATCTTACCATTTAATTGAAGATCATTTTCTTTATGAGTATTAAATGGGTCATCTTCATCAATAGGATCTATAAAAATCTCATAGGGATTCTTACCATGATAAACCAGTTTATGAGAGCCACTATTGCCTATAAATTGGGTCTGACTTGGATTATTTGAACTCCCTTCACTTTGTTTAGAAACATGCTTGCTGCTTAATTTTCTCATGTTCTTTACAAGATCAGGTGGGTTATCGTTAAAGTCTACTATATAATTTTAAGATTTCTATAGTCATTTTCTTCATAAAAAGTAAAAATTTAGAGATAAAGTTGAAATTAATAATTACCTCCTTCTAATTTTTCTCCGTTAAGGAGATATTTGTCCCTCATTTTCATAATTCGCTTCCTCCATATTTAGGTGACGAGCAGTGTCTAATTTTCGAGGTGATATTTGATATTGGTTTGATTCCTCTGAAGACCAAGCTTTTGATCCGATTCTTTTTGAATTACTATAAAAATTACCACTAATTCCAATAAATTCCCCTATATACTTCTATCTTCTAAACCTCACCTTTCTTCAACCTTCGATCCCTCGGGAGTCTTCTCCTGCTCATTACTAAAATTCCAATCTTCGTGTATTTCCTGCACATCTTTATGCCTAAACAAGTGTCATTATTAGGAGCCTTCTCTGACTGGACCCTGTCAGGGCCAGCCTTTACAGCCAAAAATGTGTACGTACAGTACATCTTGGTCTCAGTTACCACCTGTGTTATCCATTTTGATTTGTTCTATATTATATTTTTGCTCTGGGGTTTTGGGGTTTTGGGGTTTTGGGGTTTTGGGGTTTTGGGGTTTTGGGG